CCCCTTCTTCAATTTTTCTGGAGACCGATAGAGAGAGGGAGCGAGAATCAGAGATCAGCTATGTCGAGGGTCACCGTTGCCGACCTCCTTCGTCGTCTTCAACGTTGGTGGTGTGTGCTAGTGGCAACCGAGAGGGAGCGAGGAGAGCTTCAATCATCTAGACCTTCATTTTTTGTTCTCCTCCCTTTCGTTGCTGACGATAGCAAGTGGGTAAGCATCTCTATCGCTTCTAGGCCAGCATCGTCAGAGGTCACCAGATTCCTCCTCTCTCTCTGTTTTGCATTAAAATAATAATAATAATATTCCTCTTTTTTTTCGGTCTTGCTGTGGGTCAGTGTTGCTGGATTCTGGGCTCTTCATCCGTACGTCGTCTGTGTGTGTGAAAAGCAAAGACCTTTTGCTAGCAGAGGTTACCGGATTCTTCCATGTCTTTTCTGTGTTCGTTGCTTGTTCTGTTTGTCTCTGTTTTGCTTCTTCCTTCTTTTCCTGTTTGCGTGAGGGGTAAGCTCAAAGAAATCTTCATTTTCTGTTGTGTTTTATAGCACGTTTGATTACTCAACCATGATCTATTGTGATGAATGAAGGATTTGGGTATTGATCTTAGTGGATTTAAATTTATGAAGTTGTTTGGAAGCTGTAAGCGGTTTGAAATTTTTAGAGTAGGAAGCTGATGATATGCTTTGAATTTTTAATGCACTCCAGATGTTTGATAAAATATTTAAAAGAATTGGAGTGGAGTTATTAACCATATTCAGTACACTAAGGACTAATATTATGGATCTAAATTTAGTTTGGATAAAGATATGAACTTTGGAAGCATAGAAAATTTAATTAAGTGTTTAATGAAATGTGATGAATAGATGTTGGTTTATGGTAACAACTAAGTGTGATGAATGGGTTGCCTGGATAAGGGGGGAAAGAAAATTGATGTGCTCTCATTGTTTTTACTTGATGCGTAAATGGGAGAGCAAATTGGACTCAGGGCAAAATGAAATTCAAGATTAAAGAGGATAATTTTTGATAAATAACTCCATTATTGTGTTGGCTATTGCTTGAGGAAGATGGTTATGGGTTTGGATTTTATGATTTTAAATTAATTCTTGATGAGAAAATATGATAAATTTAAATGTTGATATTGAAAATTATTGGGCAAGGGTTAGGAATCTCAATTGATTAAATTAGGAATTGATGCACAATAAGTGTTGTTGAAAGGTCTAAGAGAGGATCATACCTCAGTCAAATGTTTTACTATGGCTAAAGTAATTTAGAGGAATTTTGCAATATAAATGATGGTGTTTGGGGAAACTTGAATTTTATATATTGATTATGAATCCATATGTAACTAGTTAAATTCCTGGGATAGTATGGTTGTTGATAAATGTTGGATAAAGGTTTGAAGATTAGAAAGTCTAAGAAGAAACCTCTATATATAATTTTGTTACTAAACTTAAAGTTTTATTACTAATTCTGGTTGAGTGAATTCTCCTAAAGAGAGACTTGTTGGTTCAAAAGTAAAGTTTATTAAGATCCTATTATTTATTATAGGGTGATTGTGAGAAGGGTAGCTTGATTGGAGTCGTAATAAGTGAGTTTCGAACTTTAAAAGCACTACAAGTAAGTGGATAACGTCCTAACTGATTTTTTTTTCAATCAAAATTTTTTTACTAAAATATTATGTTTTTCTGGAAATCTTTTTAATAGCATTAATGCAATTATTGGATATTTGTTTATTAACGTTACTTTATTTTGAGAAATTAGCTTTATCAAATTTAAAATTTTATTTGATCAATTAAATCAAGTTTGGACTTTGATTATGAGATTTTTATTTTATCAAATATTGAATTGATACAAAGAATGATTCATGAGAGTTCAACTTTGAATTTTTTTTATTATTCGATAAATACAAGTATGAGCATTGGATATGAAATTTTATTCTGGCAAGTTTTAATGCTTAAAAGTATTCATGCGAGTTTGATTTTGAGAATGAGAATTGTATCTTGAAAGTGATGATTTTCTTGCATGTTTGAAAATGGTTTTAAAAAAAGGACTTTATATGAAACACTGGTTGTTAACGGCAGTTCCGTTAGCCCTTGGCGCACCATGGTACACCTAACTAGCAGGGTGTTTGTAGGAGATGCTAGCCCCGTGCGATGGCCAACGCATGTGGAACAGAGGGATGGTTATTCGTGAGCATCGTACTCATGTTTGTTTCGTAGCTTCAGCTGCATTTGGTTACTGATCCTCGTGGACTATGTGTCTACGTTTGTCTTCATGGCATAAGCCGTGTTGGTTTATTTACCCTCGTGGACTGTGTATCCATGTTTGTTAATGGTTCTGATAAGTCTCTATAATTATGAATCTAATTATTTGGTGATCTTATATCCCATTGGTTTTTATTTAGTAATTTATTTACAAGTATTTATTTCATTTATGTGACTTTTTAAAATCAAGTGATATTAACATTTTCTATTATAGTTCAATGGTTTAAGATTTTATTCAAAATTTTATAGAGCCATTTTATTTTGAAGTTTATACATTTTTTATGAAAATTGTTATCTTTTTAACTTACAGGATTATTTCAAACTTTTATTTTTATTCATGTTAATTATTTATTGTTGGGACGTTATTCACTGAAAAATTATTTTGATCTCAGATAGTATAATTGACGATGCATGTCTTGCTTACCAATGATGGATGTTTGCGAAACAGAATGGAGGTTTGTTCTGTAAATATGTCTTATAGATGTAAATATGAAATTCATGTACTATGATATGAGATATATGATTAGGTGCTCCACATAACTTATAATTAGAGTTCTTAATTTATTATACATTTTGTCTGCTAGCTGGAAGGAGTTGCATTATTGATTAATATAATGTTTAATGAAATTTTTTGTGATACAAAATTTTTTGGGAGATCTTATTTATAAAGGAAGTTCTTTCAAAATTTTTACAAAATGTTGAAACAATTATTATAATAATTAGTATCAATAGTATTAAAATGTCAGTGTAAAATTAAATACATTTTAATTAAATGAAACAAACTTTGAATTGTGGCTCACGGGATGTATGAACAGTTCACATCCTATGCCGGTCACCCCTATTTTTAGGGCGTGACACACATAGTATTATTAATAAAAGTTGATTGAGACCCAAAAGGAAAAAAAAATTGCAATATTACTTCAAAGGTTAAAGTTTATTTTTACACTCAGAATTATATTTTAAGAGTATTCAATAACTTAAAGATAATTACCTTTAAATTTTAAAAAATGTAGCAATTAACCCTTTACATTTTGAAATTTTTATTATATTATAAAATTTATTTATTTAAAATTTTAAGAGTATAAAATTTGACACTTATTTATTTATGTTTTTTAAAATTTCTAACAACATATTTCAAACACATGTTTTTGTTTATCATATAATATAAAATGATATAGTTCAAGAAATTATATAAATAATTTAAATTTAGATTTAAAATTTGTAAACATGTCTTTTCAATGAAATAATGTAACTATTAAAATAATATTTATTCCGTTAAAAAATATAAGACATTTTTAACTAAATCTCACCCCTTAATAAAGTAGTTACCTACTTTTTAACTGACCCTATATTTTTATATTTACCTCTATTAAATAGCCTACAATAAATATAAAGTCATTATCAATATAGGTACTTTTTGAAAAAAAAAAGGCAATGATTACATCTCAAAAGATTAAAAATGCCTTATATTTTTAACATCCAACTCCTCAAAAAATACCTTATATTTTTGAATGGAGAAAGTATAATTAAGGATCATTAGGATGGGGTACATTAATAAATGAATTTGTTTTAATAAAAATTTTAATTTAAAAATAAGTTGTTAGAATCTTTTTAAAATATTCCTAAATGAGTTAACATATTGGATTAACTTGTATGTTTCAAAATAGAAGGGAGGTTTATATAATTAAGGCAAAATAAAAGGGTGGTGACAGTACCTTACTCTAACTATAACTCACAAGAACCAAGAAAAATTAGTTACGTCATTGAAATTGTTTAAAATTAATTTGATTTTCATTTTCACGGGTAATAAATATCATAATTTTTAAAAATAAAATATTTTACGACATTGGGGAGAAAGGCATATATGTAATAAAGTAATTAAAGCTACATAAATTCTTGCATTACATGAGCGCAAATAAGTTCTATTAAACGTAGAGTGGGGCCAATAATGGGCTTTATATTTCATTATAATTTCCATTCTGATCGTGGAAAGACTTAAAATTGGACATCTTCAATCATTGTAAATTTTTAAAACTAGAGTTCACCATCAGTTACGCGATCAAAAACTCATTAACTAAAGGTTTTTCCTTCTTAATTCAACCCACGCAAATAACTTGTAAATACTCTTTCATATCACTTGTAATTAATTGTAAAAGTAAGAATTGAAATACATAAAGCTAATTACACCCAGAAAAAAAACCACAAATGCTCCTGCAAAACTCCATACGAAATCATCTAAGTCAACTTTAGCAGAATGTGGGTGTATTTGTCTCCCTGCTGGTTCATCAAGAGATGAACAAATGTGCTGTAGAGGTGGGCCACAAAGAAAAGGATTCCCTTCATAAGAACTTCGATCAAAAGTTGCAAACTGGTTTTTCATGTCAGGCACCATACCAGATAGATTATTGTGAGCCACAAAAAAGGCAGACAAAGAGTACAACTGCGTAAGTTGAGAAGGAATATGACCCGTCAATTTGTTGTACGAAAGATCTAAACTTTCAATCTGTTCAAGGTTAGAAAACGTGTCTGGAATAGGCCCAGTCAAATAGTTGTTTGACAAATTTAATGTATGAATAGCATTCAGGTATCCAATTTGTGAAGGGATTTTACCTGTCAAATGGTTGTCCGAGAGGTCTAGGCCAGACATGAAATCTAATATATTTCCTTCATATGATTCGTACCTGCTTTTTGACATGAAGTTCACCACTATTTCCTCGTACCATGAAAAATTCTTTTCATATTCACCTTGGAGAAGCTCACCACTTGTACCATTTATGACAAATAACGGGCTTCTTGTAGACCAGGGTACAACAAATTTTCCTATTTTGGCTCCTCCCATCACATCCTGCTTTATAAATGTGACGTTATTCAAGCAATGTGGTATCCCTCCGGAAAGCATGTTTTGTGACAGATCTAGTATGCTTATGTTCTTGAGCCTGCACACTTCCATAGGAATGGAACCATCAAGCTTGTTTCCTTTTAGGAGAAGGACTCTTAAATTCAACATCGACTTTAACCACCAGGGAATTTGACTTGAAAATCTGTTCTTTGCCACATCCAAAGTTAATAGCATGGGAGATTTGGCGAAAACAGAAGGAATGGGGCCAGTAAAATCATTTCCCTGCAAATGCAAGTACCTCAATGATGGCATATTCACACAGCTTGGAAAAGTGCCATTGAATCTGTTTTGCGAAAGGTCTAGGTATGAAAGTTCAACCAAATTGCAAAAGCTTTCTGGTACTGGACCTACCATAGAATTTTGAGACAAAATGAGGTAACTCAAATGCTTTAAGTTTCCAATCCAGCTAGGCATTTCACCATAGAGTTGGTTGGAACTTAAATCCAACATTCTTAATTCCGAACTCTTACTGATCCCATCTGGTAGTTTTCCTTTGAAGTTGTTGCTACTTAGATCCACAGACAACAAATGTGCAAAGTTTGAACCAACTGGTAAACATGGGCCAATTAAGTTGTTGTTTGACAGCTTTAGAGACCTCAAATCATTGCTGCCCTTCCCAAATTCCTGGGGTAAACAGCCAGACATATTGTTATTGGACAAGTCTAGTGAGTTCAGCTGTCCCATGTCACTGATTGAAGCTGGAAATTCACCCTGTAAGGAACTCGAAGACATGTTCAAAGAAAGCAAGTTGGGAAAAACAGAGCCAATATGAGGAGGGATTTTATCATTAATAGGGTTAGAGGAAGCATCAAAATATTGCATGTCAAGTAATTTTGAGGTGGAGTTGAGCTCAAAGGGACCAGTCAATAAGTTGTTGCTGACATTGAAAGAATCTAACTTGCTGTTGTTTGTCAAAAGCCAATGTGGGAAACTTGCTGGAAAGTTCAAAAAAGTAAGTTGCAGAAGTCTCAATTCATGTTGATGAAGAAGAAAAGAGGGTATTCTGTGATTGTTTACTTCATTCATATTGCACTTGACTACGCTGAAAATCTTTAATTGGAAAGAAGGGAAAAATGGGGGATTTTCAGTTTCGAGCTTGAGACTGGGATTACTAGAGCATGAAATTGAGAAGAGTTTAAGGTTGGAGTGGTTGGCCAGCAAAGAAAGCGATGCTATGCCAGTGAAATGGTTTTCTTCTAAAGAAATGATTCTGAGGGACTTTAGAGATTGAAAGAGCAAGGAAGGGAAGGGTCCTTCAAAACTATTGTATTGAAGATCAAGCACCCGAAGAGATGTCAAATGATTGAGGCATGAAGGAAGGTGACCCTCAAACTTGTTATGGCCAAGAGACAATAGTTTCAGATTCTTCAGATTGCATAAGCCTCCTGCAACATATAAATTTCCTTTATTAAATTCATTTAATTTGTCTATGAGTATCTAAATGATGGATTTCAAACAAATAAAAATAAATTTAAGCGATAGGTTAAACTTTGTGATTAGCGTCTTCTCAAGAATATAGTGGTGTCTGTGGGCTAAAACATTTTTCATGTAAGCTCAGCTTAACAAATGAATTTAGATTAAATATCTGAGCTAAACAAGATACTCGATTATAAGCCTGAAAATGAATATGATCTAGTCCGATGAACTTAAATGTGGGGAAATTTACTTCCAAATTAGCGTAATAAATAGGTAGAGACTACATAGTGAACAGGGAGGAAGGAGAAGTTTTTAGTTTGATATTTGTATTTAAATCTAGAGAACAATCGACTTTAATCTATCTATGAAAAATGAAACATATGAGAAATAATTGTAGTTATTTTAAACACATTTCATAAGAAAATTTAGAGAGCAATGGAGTTTTATATATTAAAATAATTGTAGTTAGCTATTAGCCTATCTATGAAAATCAAACCCATAGTTAGTGTTAACGAAGCTGAACAATATTTTAATTTGGTTAATCCTTACTAATAACAATTGATTTGTATATTTGACCCAATTTTAGATTAAAACTTTGATTTGAAAACATATGAGAGAGAGATTAGAATTAAATACCTTGCCGTGGTAGTGAGCCTTTCAGGCTATTCTTAAAAGGGACAAGGCCAACAAGGAGGAATTGAAAGAGAAAGCCGAAGTCTTCGAATTGCGGGAGGAAAGAGAAATATCTGTCAAGTATGAAATAGAAATATTTAAAATAAAAAATTAAACAAATGTTTATAAAATTATTATTAAATTGTTAAATTATAAAAATATAAATAATAAAATTCAAACTGTTATAAATCTAATATGAACGATTAAAAATACAATAAGAACAAAATAAAATAAAATAAAATATTTTATAAGATATCAAATTTGAACCATCCAAATTTTGATCTAATGGTTTTAGTAAGAAAAAGAAAAGTGGATGGAGAGAGACGAGGAGAGAATCCTCTCCCGTCTTTTCGTTTCCTTCCCTAATTTCCATATGCCATACATTCCTTTTCCATTCCATTATCTCATTTAAAATCTATTCTATCCAAACTAGATTGTTCTTATAATTAACCTTAGCATATTGTTCCTGCTATTACTTAATTAATATATAGATGTCAAAATTCATTGATCAAGTTATTAAATGATTCAATAATAATCTCTATGATCTTTTCCTTCAGTACTGTTACCATCATATATCTATAGTAAAAACACCATCTTATTCAACTTTTGATATTCTCAAATTTTCTAAACACCAATCGATTTTTCCCAGGGAAAAAAGAAAAGAACCAGGAGCTAACAAAAAAATAAAATAAAATAAATTACGGCATCTAAAAGAAGTTGGAAAATAATAAAATTAAGAACCAAGGAATGGGATTTCCGTGAGCATGTTTTCGTCCAGATACAAAGTTTGCAAGTTGTCCAATCTAATTTCGCCAAATAGCCCTGCTCCAATAATAGCAAAATTATCATCAGTTACTCTTAATGTTATTGCTGGTAAATTTAACGAAGTACAAGTTTGAACTGAGATGAATAAAGAGAAGAATCACATAGGAGAGGGTCTATTTCAAATTCAGTTTTCTGACTTGACGATATATCAGCAGGGTTTGAGAAACTTAAAAATAAAAGATCTAGTTTGCGTGATATATTGTGTGTGTCTTTGTTCTAAATATATATATGTGTTCGCGCGCGCGTGAATAACAAATGAATCAGGAAATATAGTCGGAGAGTGGAGATCACAGAGAGAGAGAGAGAGAGAGAGAGAGAGACCTGACAAGTAATTTCCAGACAAATCCAAATCTCTGAGTTTATGGAAAGGGAGAAAGTAAGAAACATTCAAAGACCACTTGATGTGTTCCAACTCTTGACCTCTTGTATGATTCAGAAGAAGGCTTATCACTCTCTGAGTGTTGTCACAGCTGATTCCCTCCCAGCTACAACAATCAGAACTGGTAAGGTTATTCCAAGAAGGAAGAGACGAGCCATTTGGATGATTGAAAGATTCTTTCAGTTTGAGAAGAGCTTCTCTCTCTTCTTCCGAACACGCCTTACTTCCCCCTTTGAACCCTAAACATGTAACAATCGCCACCACCCACCACACTTGTTCTCGTACTGAACGTCCCATTCTTCAATCTCTCACAACTTCTTCAATTTCTCACTCTCATTCAATATAGCCTTTTAGGATTAAGATTATGGGTGTTCATGAGATCACGAAAGCCCTATCCCATGTCCCGTCTTGAAAAAAGAATGGAACCACGAACACCCCTAATTATGCTCCACATCTGTAATGGTCCCCTTGAAATTAAAGAAAGTTGATACGACCAGCATGCACATTGATATTGACTTTTGCTATGACTGAGTCGTTCATATTTTTTATTTTTGGAATGAATAACGTATCACATAAATCTCAAAAGAATATCTACACAAGATTACAAAAACTATAGTTTAAGATAGTGGATGATCAAAGACCCAACAGCCTCCATACTATTCAGCCCTAAACTAATTAATGAGGTTCCTAAGCATTTTATCGCGATCTTTTGTGAGTCTTTCATAAATTTGATAATTGGTGTTTCAACTTTTTCTGTTTTAGTTGCAAAATTTCTGCGCGTAAAATTTACAGGTATCTTCTATTAATTGTAAAAGAAGTACTTTTTTTTTGATAAAAAAAAAAATAAAAGCAGTACATTGATTATTTGCTTGGTCCTGAGAAAACGCACAATGTCCTAACCAATGGATTGCCTTGGCGTGTGGGGTAAAGCATGGGCCAGGACAAAAGTCAAGTGGGTCTGTGACGGAGTGATACGAGGTTTTAGAGTATTAAAAAGGTGGACTAAGAGTCTGGTGGAAAAGTCAAACTGAGATTTTTGTAAATTATTTTTGAGTGAGGTGTTGGAAGCAGCTATGAAATTTGGTCCCAATCATGTCCAGAGACATTGTTTTCAAGAGTTGTTCCGCCACAAAAGTCACATCCAAAGATATGTATAGTGTTGTAGGATATATTATTATTTTCACAAAATCATGATTTTTAATTCCACTTTTCAGTTATGCTTAAAATTAATCTTATTAAACAATTTTATAAATCAACTACATCAATTTTTTTATAATCACTAGCGCAAAACGCATTTTTTGCCACAATTAAAATACATTTTTGGCGACAGAAGATGCTCTGTGGTAGAAAATAATGTGATAATAAATGTATATTTTTTGCGACAGGTGTAATGTAACTATGGCGAAAAATAATATTTTTCACCACAGGTGAAATTGAGACCTGTGGCGAAAAATAGCCTCTTTCGCCATAGGTCCTACTTTTACCTGTGGTGAAAGATGATATCTTTTGCCATAGGTCCTAAAGACACCTGTGGCGAAAGATGGTTTCTTTCACCACAGGTCCAACCTTCACTTGTGCTGAAAGATATCATTTTTTGTCACAGGTCTTCTTGGACCTATGGCAAAAGATGGTTGAGCGGTGCATCTTTGGCGACAGTTGTGGTTACAACTGTCGCTATAGATTCATTTTTACTACAGTTACAACTATAACTGTGGCCGTAAATACTATGTTTTTTTTATAGAATCACCTATAATTATATACATCCCTTACTTTTACAAAACTTGTATTAATACATAAATAGTAACTCCAGAGGCCAATACAAATATATATATTACAAACATTTCAACTAAAATCTCCATTTTTAATACACATATCTAAAATGTTTCTACTTTAACCCTGTTAATTCTAAGAAAAAATGAAACCAAAAATTCCGTATATGTCTCAACTCTCACTTAGAATATGGCTCTAAATTTTGAAAGTACTGCAATTTCAATAACAATATATATAAATAATAACTCAAGTATATGACAAATTTCATAATATAAATCATTATTAGCAAATTATTACTTGATCAAATGAGTGAATAATACCTTGAGTGATGATTTCATACACGAAAATCATTACATAATAACCACACTCTACACTTCCTGGTTGTTGAGGACACTATAAAGATAATAAAAATAATAAAATTTATTAAATCAATATTATAATCTTCATTCTAATAAAAGAATAAATTTGAAATACTTATTTGCATTTGCACCCACTTAATTTCATTCTTTTTCTTGTCAACCATTCCCACTGATTTCTAATATGTTGCTAATGATCTATTTACCAAATATACACACTTAGAAAATATTAAATATATGTTATTAATAACACAAAATAGAATTATTTGAAGACTTACAATTCAATCAAAGATTTCATATCATCGCTTATTTTCCTTCGTAGTGAACAAAACCAATATATAATATTTTCATACGGGCAAATGACAGGAAGCATCCAATGATGACTACAACATATTAATTGATATTAATATCACATCATTAAGCAAATTTTTATTAAATTGAGGGATGAATTTAAAATTTAATACCTTTCAATAATTGGTAAAAACCAGCACCTCTTCTTTTGCCTACACATCATCTTTCCAATATAAGAAGCTCTTTAATTCACTTTATCAATTGTGGTTAAAAGTGGAGATAAGAACCCATAATTATAATCGACACCGAGTTCAGTGCATATCTTATGGAGGTACTTTTGATAATAAAAAATATGTTAGCAAGAAAATAAAAATATTAAATATTAATCTAGAAATAAAAATGAACACTTACATAATAAACACTTGAATTATTGCTAAATCTAACCAATCAAAAATAATGAGATCATTAATGTCTTTTCTGGAGACTCTGAAAGTAATAGGCTTCCCAAAATCATTTTGCTTACTTTTATTTCATCAAAAAATTCATTCATATCAACCACCACTGAAGCCAATTATTTCAAATAATCTTGCACCGGTTGGGGATTAGAACCCAAAGATTCTTTTAACATTAGGAGTTCCTATAATTAATATATAATAATAATTAGAAATACCTATAATGTTAATTAAGAAATATAGAAATTATAACTTTTCATACCTCATCGGTAACTTGTCGGGCTAGCCGTTTTAATTAAATAATAAAATTATGCTCAGCTTGTCCTACTATTTGCACCTCCTCAGTAGGGAATAACACAGGAGCATTGGTATCCACAATCTCTTCAACCGTGACCTTTACTTAGTTATGTTGTATCGGTTGGTGGTGCACTGTAGTTGCATGGTTATACACCTTTCCATATGCAACTACTCGTTTGCCATGATCCTCCACATAAAGTATACATGGCATTCCTTGCTCTGATAGGTCAGGATCAGACCCTGGATTTGGAACACCACCATAGTTCGGTGCTTGTTGTGATTGCATCTGGAGATTGCTAATCATTGATTGTATTTCCATCATCATGCTTGATTTTCATTCTTCTATCATCATTTGTACTTGATGCATTGGTATAAGATCAGGATGTAGTGGTGGTCCAAAATATTGTCTTATGCCCACACCTTTTGGAACCCCCCTAACACGGCCAGAGTGCTCTTCACTTCCTAATGCTGTGGCCAATATATCCTTCCTACCAGTAGATACAAAGGTCCCTTGAAAGGATGCTTCTGTAAGAGCATCCTGGAACATGTAATCAACCAATACAATTAGTAGACTTAAATCACATAATTGAGATGTTGACTATAAAAATACTTACAATTTTTTCAGCCACTTCTCTAGCTTTCGGGGAAATATACTCTCCTTTTTTAGTCATCCATCCTCTCTTTCATGCTTGTGCACGATTAATAGGAGATGGAGGAAAAACATCTTCAACATTATCAACCCCTGCCGCTTGTCTTTTTGCTTCCCACTTCTCTTAAATCATTATGTCATAAACATATGCATACCCTCCTCGAGACATAGTATGATTATATAGATTTTTCTTTCGAAGCTCTTGACCCCTTTGACATTTTTCCTATTAACAAACAATGAAAAACATTTGTTAAATAAAATTTTAATAATACTAGTTTAATATAATATTTTTCCTTCGCTTACCAAAAAATTAGGATCGTGTCTACTATGAACAAATCTCATCCATGTGTCATAATCAATGAATGGATACTTCTCCCAAGGTTTTTTCACGCCGATATCATTGTCACTATCATCATTTTCATTGTCATTCTTGGAAAACACATATTTTTTTGTAAGTTTGGACTTAAAGTCCCTCCATCGATCCCCGGCATATTTTAGCCATTTGTTCTTTAAAAATGGAGTTTCCTTTATGTCATATGTAATCTGCAAAAACACGCCAATGATAAATTTAGTGACAACATATATTTCAAAATAAAAAGTAAATATGATATAAAGCAATTAGAAATACCAGTATTGTTTCCCAAACATCCTCTCTTCCTCCAAGATGCTAATCTTTTGACAAGCCACAAGACCTACAAAACTCTTAAAAATATTTTCTTTTTTCTTATCAATTGGTTGGCCCTTTTTATCAAAGTCAAGATGAATCTTTTCATGTGTTTGGGCTAACTTAGTTAATTGCGTGGCCCCTCTTTTACCTCTCTTAGTCTTTGCTTTTTCAGTGCCACTGCTGCAAGGATTTTCCATATTTCTCCTAAAATAAACAAGATAAATAATATTAGTAGCAAAAAATATAATAAATTTAAACTTATATAAATAATGAAAGCATACAAAAATAAAAGAGATAAAAGAAATTCAATAATATTATGTTACCATTACAAATATATTTTAATTCTCCCATAAACCTTCATCATGATTAGTTCTAACATCATAGACGTCATCATCATCTTCCACATCCAACAAGGGTTGGGTTGGCATAAAAGGAGGAATCTCTTCAATGCCAAAACTTGTTTCATCATTTTCATCATGAGAGAGGAGACTTTTTTCCAATAGTACGATGGTTATCAGCTGGATCGGTAACATAAAAAATTTGTTTTGCATGAGTTGCCATGATGAAAGGCTTATCCTTATGTTTTGCCTTATGAAGACTACTAAAATAAAACCCAATTTATCTTCTTGAACACCATTCTTAATATCAACCCACATGCACTTGAAAATGGGCACCTTAAATTTAAAGTAATCAACTTTTCATATCTCTTCAATGACTCCAAAATATGATGAAGATGCCATAGTTGAATTTTTATCTTTAGCACTGGAAAAATGAGTTGCCTCAACTTCTACCATTACCTTACTATTTTTCATAGTGCTATTATCATCTTGTATTTTTATATAGAATGAATATCCATTAATGTCATATGCACTCCAAGTTACAA